TTGTGACTCAGGTTTGGACATTGGGGATCTGGGCTATGTGGGACTAAACATTGCGGAAAGAGACTGTTAATGGAGTCCCGGCCAACCACTGGGAGGTCAAAGGATGACGATGAGTAAAAGAAAGTAGGAAGAAAGGACAATCTATCAATTTTAAAAAGACATGGTCATCAGCAAGATGCAAGCTATAAAGCAAGTATGAAAGTTTAAATATCTAGGAAGAGGTTGGAAAGTGGGACACTGAAATCCAAAGGTGCATTGACATTGCAAAAGATGCCCTCCAAACACTAAGCAAAGTATTAAGAAACAGGAACCTTTTGTTAGAAACAAAGAAAAGAGTGCTGAGCCATAAATCTTAGACAGCTTCCTCACAGATGAAGAGAAGAATGGAAGAAACAAAAATGTGGTTCTACAGAAAGATGCTGAGAATACTTTAACAATAAGATTTCTTACATCTTCAGAAGATAAATTCCTTCCTTTTAAGTTCACTCAGCTATCTTTTGAAAATTTGACCACCCATATAGTTTCAGGGGGGTCTCAACACTTCAGAATTGGGGGATGGGACCCAAGGATTTTAGATAGACATGAAAGTAGTCTTTTGAAGATTTGACCACCCATGTGGCTTTGGGGTGGTCTCAACAATTCCGGAACACAAGAGGATGGATAAGGGCGTGGGACCAGCGATTATCCATATAAGCAGAGAGAGGCAAGAAATTGAGGAGAAAGGGAATCCAGCCGTGAGAGAAGTAGGTAAGTGACCAGAGGAGTTAGTAGCTACCCAACAGCCAGAAGGACTCATAGTGAGGAATCTAGCAGTCGTCAAGGCCAGTAAGGAGGAGACCAGCTAAGATAGGGAGATAGCCAGCTATCTTTTTCTTCGGCTGAACTGCTAAGCGAGAAATCGTGTTGTTGTGAACACCTCACCAGTGTCTTTAAAAACAGTTGTCGTCATTGTTATTAATTGTTGAAAGCAATCACAGCTAACTAGATAAATCTGCGCATATAGCGAGTTGGGTGTATATGCAAATACACTCAACCTTCGACGTCATCACAGGTGAAGTGAACGACAGATGATCGGTGAACGTCGTCACAAAACGTGTCACAATTGCACTATGAATGGCATCACACTCACACACATGTGTAAGATGACTTAAAATCATTATTTACCAAATAATTCTATACATTTGAACTATTTACTAGTTTCTTAAAGAGGCCTCTTATTTATCAACTAAAAAAAAAAAGGAAAAATTATGTAGGAAATCCAAAAAGCATATAAAAAGTTTGCATGATGTTGATGATGTCTCGGTTTTATTTCTTGGGAAGTTGACCGTCTGACATGTATACACTTTACGTAACAATTTCATTTCATTGGCAGATAATTTTGAGCCATGACCCATTTCTAAGAAACATTTTAATTTTTTTTCTTTTTTACTTAGTTTGAATCGAACATAGGTCATATTTGATTGGTTGATCAGTGTAAAGCCCTCAAACCTTATAACCTATTTTTTCTTTGAAAAAAGATGATGTATTTTGCTTTTGAAACCAAATGAATTGTTCACTTGCTAATAATTTACAATCGCCTGAGGAGAGACACATTGGTATACGTTGAAACAAGACTGCAATTGTGTATTGATTTTTACATGTTTTAATATTCTAAAATATATATGTGTGTGTGTGTGTGTCTTTATATATATATATAAAGAAATATAGTCTTAAGGTGTGCTATATTTATGGGATAAAGTGCTCAATATCAGAGATAGAGCGTGTGAATATATGTGGCCTGACGATTGCATATAGCATGAAACAGACTGTCGCCTCTAAGTGTTGACTTCTATGTTCACTTATATATATATATATATATATATGAATAAAAATGACAATAGGAAAACTAGTAATTGCTGATGCATTTCATCCAATGTGGACTTTATCAAAGCAAAATACGAAATGAATTTAACTGAACAAGGTAACTAATAAAAACAAACAAAATATTCCTAGTAACTGGAATGTAAAGAAACGCTATTTTCATATTGTTAACTGAAAATAACGTCAATATTTGTCAGCTATGGAGAATATTGTCATTATATCAAAATTATGGTTGAATTTATAATTCATAATTTTGATTTTAAAAATGCTACACTCATAAAAAAAGAAAATAAATCACTCAGAAGGAAAATTCGAGAGTGCCACCATAGAACATTACCCAAATATTAAACCACACCCAGGTTTTTTCCTCATTTCACCTTTCTTAACAAAATTACTGTTCTCACAAACAAATGTACATAACAGATTCATAAAATCAAAAGAAAATGGTTGAATACATCAACGCAGATATAATGACAATGTTGAAAAGCACTGAAAATGCTAAATTGAAATGTCTTTATTTTATTGCTTGCTTATAAATTCAAATAATTGTTGCAATTGTAGTAATCTGTGGAATTAGTCTGAACTGTTGTTTTGTATTTGGAATTTAAGATTTACGAGAAAATATCTTTAGTATTTTCAAATGTAACTGCACGTGTCACTGATTTTTCAGTTTATTCTCTAATTTCAGGGAATATTTTCAGAAGTGTTTGAACTTCATGCAGACGATATTGACAACGAAAATGTTGACAACAAAGAAGGGTAGGCACAATTTTAAATCTTTCTTTCTCCTTATTTCCCGTCCTGGGTATGACGATGAACTAAACCCGCGTCCTGGGTATGACGATAAACTAAACCCGCATGCTGAGTATGAGTTATCGCCAGACTTGTTTAACCTTTAAAGTGAGATGATCTTAAGGGAACAAGAAATCACACCAGGATTTATTATTGGTGACCGCAATCTTAAGATAAGACTCACAGATGACACAGTATTGATAATAAACACAGAAAGGAAACTGCAAAATCCCCTCAACAAGGTTGTAAAGGAAAGCAGGAAAAAAGGACTAAGCCAGAAGAACAGTCTAAATTGCAAGCTAAGAATTGGAGATATCAAAATAAAGTACTCCCCATTCACCCAACTTCAAGCATGTTTTGCGACTCATTTACAGTCACTTTCTCACAGACGTGCTGTTGCTTCCGTATGTCTTTTCTACAAATCCTTTCACGTTAACTGCTCCACTGAGCTATTTTCGCTGGTTCCCAAACTGCATGAATTTAAGCATGTTACTAGGTTGGCATCTCAGTCCCACCCTTTCGCTGTCAAAAAGTTCAATGTAGCCGTCTCTTCCACTCGTGTCTTACACTTCCCGTCTATGGAACTCCCTTCCTCTTACTTGCTTCCCTGATAGTTATTGTTTTCAAATATCCAAATGTAATGTCAATCGACATTTTCTGATGTTTTGATCTAATTCCCTGTCCTTCTCTTTATCCTTTCCTCAGTCACGTCTCTTTACTCTTGCTTCCATTCTCTGTAACCCCTTGTGTGCTAGTGGCATGCCCAACTTTCTTGGGGTGAAATGCTTAAAAAAAAAAAAACATATCAAAGTTTACTGTTAGAATAATTAGTGAGATTGTATTCAATGCAGGCTTGCTAGGCCTGTCGTGAAGCTTACAGTGCCTGGTATTCTCCAGTGGTCACCAATTTGAATACTGACCAGGCCCAACATTGCTTAACTGGTGATGAGGCAAGAACCGAATATTGTAAATAGCGTACCTCATCTCAGAAATATAGACAGACACTGGAAATGTGATGCAGAAATCTGAAGGAACATTGTAATAGCAAAAGATGCTTTACAAAAGCCAAGCAAAGTATTAAGAAACAGGATTTTTTTTTTGTACAAATCATTTCCAAAACATGCTTGCACCTACTGTATCGTTTTTATAAGTTTCAGTGATAAGTACATGGAGCAAATACAAACGGTGAACAGTCAAGTGTGCATTTGATATTCAACCATGACTTCCATTAAAAAAAATGTGAAATTATCACCTTTCTATTAGGTTATGTAAATTTGTTTGTATTTTTTATCATTTATTTTAATGCTTAAGATTTATTAATAGTTCTGATGAATCATTTAATAGTGTATTCCCCTTGATTGTTTACGACCTGCTGTCAAAGGATCCGCTAACTGTTCAATGACTTGATGAAAGAAATCACCAACTTTTGACTCAAAAAATTTGTCAAGCCATGTTTTAAGCTCCACAACGTTGCTGAATCATCCCTCAGATTAAGTCCTGGATATGATAAGAAACTACATTTAGTAGCAAGGCCCATGATTTGGAGGTTTTGAGGAGTGTGGAAACACCTCTTATTTGCTGTTGTACCCCAGTTCACCTTGATCCTGGTTAGGGTCCCAGCTATGGGTAAATAGTGAACCCCCACCAAACAAAAAGCAAACACTATGAATGTATAAAAATACATTTTTATGTCCCCAAAAAAAAAAAAGAAGGACCGGGAATACATTTTTTTCATGTAAAAGATGCATACTAGTAACATTCCTGCCTTGCTTTTTATAAAATAAAAAAAAAAATCCAACCTGGAGAAGGTTGTGCTCCTGCAGGCTGTCTTGCCCATGACATACCACTGATGTTATGGCTGCAGTGCGTGTGATGCACCTATGACCCTCATTCATCATGAAGTGATAGCTTCTCATCTTAGAAGTTTGCACAGAAACACTTAACTTTAGCATCAACCTGGCACAAGTCTTGGTTTCTTGCTACATGTGTCTTTTTTTTCTTCCCTTTTTTCTTTTTCTCTTTTTTTTCCCTTTTTCTTTTTTTTTCTCTTTTCTTCTCTTCTTCTCTCCCTTTTTCCTTCTTCTTTTTCTCCTTCTTCTCCCTTCTTTTTCCTCTCTCTCTTTTCTTTCTCTCTCTTTTTCTCTCTCTCTTTCTCTCTTTTCTCTCTCTCTCTTTTTCTCTCTCTTTTTCTCCTCTCTCTCTTTTTCTCCTCTCTCTCTTTTTCTCCTCTCTCTCTTTTTCTCCTCTCTCTCTTTTTCTCCTCTCTCTCTTTTTCTCCTCTCTCTCTTTTTCTCCTCTCTCTCTCTTTTCTTATTTACACTATTTACATGTGGACTCCTGACCCCATCTTTGTTGTTATCACATTTCGACTGTTGTGCTCTCTGGCCTTCATCAGGTGTATATTGATCCAGGTAACATACAGGAAATTCTTAACCAAGCCCTCTATTTAATCTACAAGGGTAGACTGTCCTCATTCCACTGCTCCTGTCTAGGGATATCTGAACTGGACAAGGAGGAACACTGAAGAGATAAACGCTTGAAAGAATCAGCATATATGCTAGACTACAAGAACCACATTAGACCTAGCATAGAAATAAACATATGAAAGCCGCTGAGAAAGAAAGATGAATAACAGCAAGTCTTCAACAAGAGAAAAGCTTCAGTGAGGATAGTGCAGCAGGACTCATCAGCAGGCAGGTTAGGTTTTAGGTTCCACAGGGAATTGTCCTACAGGACAATAGCCGAATATACTCAAGCATTGCTTTGTGAAATCAGTGACATAGTAATTATGAGTTCAGTCCCTGGGCTGGCCAATGTATACTTGGACTAGGTGGAAACAGGGTGAGCAATAACTGAACAGTTGTGAAAATAAGAACTGGGACATGTGCAGTGGAACAAGAATAGTCTATCCTGTAGATTAAATAAAGTGTTCAGTTTGGAATTCTATGTAGGTTAGCCAGATTGATGTACACCTGATGAAGGCCAAAGACAGCTGAAACGTTTTAATACCAACTGTTGTATCCCCTCTTTCAGGGTTCTCTTGGGTGACGATGTGAATTCACTCATAATGATGTTGCCTTCTCTCTCTCTCTCTCTCTCTCTCTCTCTCAGCTGTTGACTTCTAGTTCGTTTTAGTTCAGAGTTTAACAAAGGGATTTTAAACTTATCTAGTTTTATTCACCACATCGACATGTACATTTTCTAACTAGACAGTGGGGTCTCTCTCTCCCACCCTACTGGGAGATGTTGCAGTCACAAAAGAACATTTCGACAGTTAAAACTCAACCTCCCCAAAAAAACTTTCTCTATCTATCATTCCCACACTAGTTTAGCCAGTCAAAATTAACTTTTGTTTTTCTGTATCTGACCTCAAAGGTCAAAATGAGCAAATCTGAGCAGAATTACAATTCTCCATAATGGTCTGCTAAACTATTATTTAATACAACAAAGACAAGTTTTTTTTTTTTTTGAGGGGGGTCTATGATGTGAAAATGGGGGGTTATGATAGTGAAGAGGTCAGTTTGCAAATAACACTGAGCTAGATGTTAGTGTACATGTATGTTGTATTCTTCAGTGCAGTTTGGGCACCTCGAGGTGGTATAATGGTTAGCAACTTGTCTTGCTAGAATGATTACGACTTGTGCCACATCTAAGCTATGATTTGAAAATCTCTTCTTCAGTGCAATTGAAAGAAAGGCACTGAGCTTGATGATCAACAGAATCAAAAGGGTCAGTTACATCGATCTAAGCAACTTTGATCTTATTTTGATTACTTAGTACTACACAGAGCATTGCTTGCTCTTTTTTAATTATTCCAAATTTTTTCAATGAATAAATTTATTGAAACAAAACAAGTTCAGTTGACCACTGATGACAATTCCAGAACAACGTAACTATAAACAATTTTTTCTAACCTCTGCCAGCTGCAATGATGGAGAAAGCATTACCCCAAACCATCGCCAGTGAGACACGCTGCAAGAGCATCTCCATTTCGCGTGGCTCGTCCCTTAATAGAGACGCAATCGCGCCAATCCTCCAAAGGAACGCCATCGAACAAGGGCCAATAACCCCTGAAGTCTCCACTGCCACAGGAGTAAAAAAAAAAATCTATCAGCAAGAGAAGAATATTTAACTATTTTTTTCATCTCTGTGTCCCGGGCGACGGATCCTGGCTCAACCGCGGAACTGATCAAATTACTGACCGAAAATGTATCCACACAGGTCGCATCCCAAATCAATGACTTCCCCATTTCAAAAGGGAAAATGGTAATGCCATCGGGCCGCTTTCTATCACCACAGCTGCATCCAAACCTTTTTTGATGATGTCGTTAATTGATTTTTGGATAACAATCCCCTTTTTTCAAATAGTTATTGATGACGGTCATTTGGTCTGATTGGTATGATTGCATCAAGTAGGATGCAATATTAGTGTGTTTAATTTAATTAGTTAGTGCAGTTGGCTATTAGTAGCGGTTATGAATTTGTGTTCAATAGCATTGGATGTATTTCGACTTGGCGTGCTTAATATATTAATTGCTTAATTTATTGGGGTTATTTAACATATTTTCTTAAATATATTTTGGGGAAAATTCTGAAACTTTTCATACATGTAGTTGGTCTTGATCTGGCATCTCATCTACAGTCGCTCTCTCACAGACGGGCCATCACCTACCTCTGTCTTTTCTACAAATACTTTCATGGTAACTGCTCCAACGAGCTACTTTCGCTAGTTCCCAGACTTCGAGCATTTAAGCATACTACTAGGCTGGCTTCATGGTCCCACACTTTCCCTGTCGAAATGGTTAAATGTGGCCGTCTCTTCTACTTCAATAGCTTCATGTCTCGCACCTCTCGCCTGTGGAATTCCCTTCCTATCACTTCTTTCCCTGATAGTTATAATCTCCGACTATTCAAATGTAATGTCAATCGACATCTCCAGATGTCTTGATCTATTCCCTGTCCTTTCCTCCATCACGCCTCTTTACTCTTGCTCCCACTCTGTAACCCCTTGCATACTAGTGGCATCCCACCTTGCTTGGGGTGAAATGCTTAAAAAAAACCCCAAAACATTGGAGTTAACATTTTAATTGCCAACATCAGTGTGAGTTTTAAGAATCAAAGATATCGCTGGAGTAGGAAAAGAAACAAAAAGGGGATCTTTGGCTGAAAAAGTTTGATGACCCCTGGTGAAAATGAAAACTAATCCCAGAACTGCAAAATTATTTCTTAGACTGTTCTCATCTATATCATGTTCATGATGTTTCGGCTATTGTACACTCTGGCCTTCTTCCGAGGATTAGAATTTTGACCTGAACCTTTTTATTTCATTTACCGGGGTAGATTGTTCTAGTTCCATGTACCATGCCTCTTCCAGATATTTCAGTTATCTCCCTTTAACTCAACTCTCCAAGATTTTGTTCATCACTGCCGCAGCCAGGTATTGAACTTGTTTGGTTGCATCCATTGACTTGACCCAAAGAGTGCTGAGTTCTTGCTGCAGGAGTGAACAAAATTTGGAGAGGGAGATAACTGAGACATCCGAAAGAGGCATGGCACATGGAACTAGAACAATTTACCCTGGTGGAGAAAATAAAAGGTTCAGTTCAAAATTCTAATCACCTAAAGAAGGCTGGGACGTACAACAGCCGAAACGTTGTGAATATGGCAATAAAGATGAGGATAACAGTCTGAACAATGTATATAATGTAAATAATTATGATACCTCATCTCAGGAATATAGACAGAAATTATTTATCTATTTTATTTTTATTTTTATTTTATCCTAATGGAAGCTCCTTCACAGAAGCCAGATTTCCGATTAACATTGGAATCACGGGTCACGTGGCTGCTACAGGGGAGGTAAGTAAAAATTATTTGTGTCTTCAAATTGTGTCTTCTACTGTTTGCTGCACTGTCGCAAAATATTGCCAGCAATAACAAAGTCACTTTGAAATTACGTTGCTAATATTTCTCTTTGTATAATATAAATTTAAATCTTTAATCATTGCATGTAAGAAAGAACTCTATTTTTGGAATCATTAAAAGTAAAAAAATATCCAATGTAAACTAAAGTAAAATAAAAGCATAATAGCAGCCTGGTCACCCCTATTTAATAACAAGATATTCTAGTCTAGCATGAGGCATGTTTATTGGTGTTAACTAATGCCTCGTTTTACCACAACAGTGGAATATATTACTATAACTGTGTAACTGATAAATATATGCGTTATATATTATGTACACGTGACTATTGTCCTCATCTTTGTTGTTATCACAGTGTTTCAGACATCCAGCTAACCTACAGGAAATTCTAAACTGAACACTTTATTTAATCTACAGGGGTAGACTTTTTAACATTTTTACTACTGCTCACTTGTAGTTCTTCCTGTTTCCAAGGAGTTCAAGTATCATTTTTGTGTTCCCTCCCCCCATCCCCCACCTTTTTGGTTCTCTCTCTATCTCTCTCTTTTTTGGGGGTGGGGGGGGTCTCTTTCTTTGCAGAGGTTCTCTTTCATTTTAGGAGGTTCTCTTTCTTTTTTGGGGTTCTGGTCCTCACTTTTTTTGTTCTTTTTCTTTTCTTTTTTTGTTTCTCTTTCTTTTGTTATTAGATTCTATTTCGTTTTGCAGGGGGGGGTCTCTTTCTTTCCTTTTTTTTGTTTCTCTTTTGTTTTTAGATATTTCTTTTTTCGGTGGGGTTCTGTTCTTCTTTATTCTCTTTTTTTGTTTTCTTTTTGTTTGGTTCTCTCTCTTTTTTTTTTTGTTCTCTCTTTTTTTTTGTTCTCTCTTTTTTTTTTTGTTCTCTTTTTTTTTTTTTTCTCTCTTTTTTTCTTTTTTTCTCTCTTTTTTTCTTTTTTTCTCTCTTTTTTTCTTTTTTTCTCTCTTTTTTTCTTTTTCTTTTTTTTGTCTGCTCTGTCTGCTGATGTTTGTCCACCAGTCTAGATGGAAACATTTGATCCACTAGGCTATATCTTGTCATTTCCATCGAATAATAACCTGATGGATTAAAGCCTGTGGTTGTGCATATCTGGACTTGGAGGAAATAACTGAGTAGTACTAAAACTAAAAACTAGACAAGAGATATCCATAGACATTCTCTTTCTTTTTGGAGGGGGTTTCTTTCTTGGGGGTGGTTCTCTTTTTCTTTTTTTCGGTTCTCTTTCTTTTTTTCAGTTCCCTATCTTTTCTCTTTTTGGTCTATTTCTTTTCTTTGTTTGGGTTCTCTTTTTTTGTGATCACTTTCTTTTTTCTTTTTTTTTTTTCTTTGGCTCTTTTCCTTTGGTTCTTTTTTTTGTTTTCTTTCTTTTTGGTAGGGAGGTTCTCTTTCTTTTTTTTTTTCTTTTTTTGTTCTTTTTTTTTTTTTTTTTGTTTGCTTCCTTTTCTTTGGTTCTCCTTTTTTTTTTTTTTCTTGGTTCTATTTTTCTTTTTTCTTTTTTTGCTTCTCTTTTTCTTTTCTTTTTCTTTTCTTTTCTTGGTTCTTTTTTCCCTTTTTTAGTTTTCTTTTTCTTTTTTGGGTGGTGGGTACTTTTTCTTTTTTGGTAGTTTCTCTTTTTTTTCTTTTTCGTTCTCTTCCTTTCTTTTTTTTTTTTCCTTTCGTTTGTTCTCTCTCATTGTTGTCACCCAATCTAGAAGAACACATTTGAATAAATGTCCATCATTCCCAACCCTCAGCACTAATTATGAGAAGAAACCAATAAATGCTTTCCTAGAATTAAAATTGATTTCTAAATTTTTTTTATGATTTCTAAATATCATGACACTGAATTCTTTTAAAGGTTCTTTTTTAATTGCATGACATTTTATGATGCAACAAAATTAAGTGACAAATTATCTTTTCTTTTTCTTTAGATTCTCAACATTCCAGATGCTCATGCGGATGAAAGATTTGATCCTTTCGTAAGTTTAGATAAAATAAAAAACAAAAAATGTCAAGCCAAAAACGACTTCAAAGTCTTTGAACAAAAATAAAGACTCTATTCTTATTGAGGTAAACATGTAGTAAAAATTTTCTTTGTCTTGGCCTTTTATTCTGACAGGGATCAAATAATGCTTTGTGGTGAATGTGTATCATTACAGATACAGAAAAAGACCTAGTCACATGCAAGCTGGTTTGTTGAAGACAGTCACATCAGGGTTTCTCTATTAGCAGAAGAACAGCTTGGCATATCCAGATACAGGCCTCTCTGCAACTTGTCCGGATCCTGGTTTTTGTTGACTGTCTCATGTCAATGAAAGTGATGGGATAACCAGCAGGCTGGTTTTGGCAAGACTTGTTTTGCTATTGTCAGAGATTCAGCATCTTGTAAAGACACTCTCTTGGCACATTTTGTTCTAGTAGTTATGTACCACTTGCCATGCAGTAGCTTTTTTTTTCTTTCTTTCTTTGTACTTTCTCCCTTCTCTGCCTGTTCACTCCTTTAATTGTTAAAAGAACAATCTGTTACCTTTTAAGTGGTTTCCCCCCCAACCTCAACCTACCCATGGCTTAGTTTTCTACATGCTTCAAGATATTTCTTGGAATTGTCAGAAAAGCAGTGATTAGCTTGGCTGGTAAGATATTTGAGATTATCTAAGAAATTCAATTAAAAAAACAACTTTTTTAAAATCTCAAAATAAAATCTCATCTGGAGGCAAAAATTTAAAACCTGCACACACATTCAGCTGATTAAGATTAACATTTTAATTTTTTTTTATTTATTATTTTTTTTCTCATACTATGTTCCTTGAGGACATAGGTAGGTGTGTTATTCTCAGTATGGGCAGTAATGCCCCGCCCTGTGAGTACTACGGACCCTAAAAGGAGAAGTAAGTCTTCAGGAGTTGATATAGGTGGCAGAATTATAATCTTAATAGGGCAGTAAGTTTTAACCCTTAGAACCTTTTATATATGTATTTGTTAATCTTTTTACCTATATATATATATATATATATATATATATATATATATATATATATATATACACATTTTTAGATTAACTTTTTTAAAGCAGCCACAATTGCTATGTATGTGATATAGAACAGTTTCTTAGCTTTGACCCAGTGACCAACATCTTGGCCATTCCCATCACAATTTGCTTCCAGTGATTGGCAGGAGATGAGTGGGTGGGGGTTCTAATTTAGACAGGACAGTAAGATGATTTCAATTCTGATGAGAACAAGTCATGGCCTTTCATGGAGAAATATGCTACATAAATTTCTAAATACAAGAACACAATGTTAGGCAATTGAATGTCAAAATGGAAACATTCTGTGTAACGTTTCTTTCTCTAGAAAGATTTCTTTGGACTAAAGTAATGGTTTTACTGATGGAATTATACAGAGTGTATCAAAACTACCTCAAAAGGGCCAAACCCTCAATGGAGAGTACTATGCCAGACTTGCTGGGGCAGTTAGAAAAGGCTATCAGAACCAAATGCCTGGGGAAAACTGATGAAAGATGTCTTGTTTCATCAGGTCAATGCACTAGCACACAAGTCCTTGGTTTCAATAGCTGCAAAGAAGAACAATCGTTTTATTTATTTCATTACAAGAATTTACAAAGAGGAACGATCAATTAGCTTATCTTCATACCCTGCCTGGGGGCAAATGCTGCTGGTGATGCCAGGGGTGGCGGTCCTGCCATAGCCACTGAAACTGTGATATCACCCCTGGTCGGTGGCTGATGAAGACGGGTATCGCACGTGCTAACACACATATGTTTAAAAAAAAAGTTTGAATTTGGAGATGCTTTTGAACTCTATCTTGATTTGATTCCATCTGACTATCATCTGTTTCCCAACACGGAAAAACACTTGGCTGGGAACCATTATCACGGTGATAATATCATACCTGCTGTTGATCACTTTTTTGACCAACAGGATGAAAGCAGCTTCAGCAATAGGATCCAGACGTTGCAACAATGACGGAAGAACTGTGGAACACAAAGAGGACTATGGTGAAAATTAAACCTCATTTGATCATATTCCATAAGAGTATCTTGATCAGCGTATGACCTTTTCAGCCAACCCTTGTAATCTTTTATTTAAGCTCCTTGAGGTCCCTCTTGTGTAATCTTTATGGCAGTCATTACAAATTATAGAATAAAATCCTGCTTGAAGCTTTAGGTTGTTATTTTTTGCATAAAGTCTCTTATTGTTAACAAATTTTGTATTAAGCTGAGATAAAAACTTTTCAATTGTAGTGGGATAGACGATGTAGTGTACCGTCATTTTGAAAAATGAAGGGTAATTAATATCTTATTGTTAGTTTAGATGTCAAATCCCTTTATGCCAGCATTCTTGTGAAGAAATTCTTAAATTTAAAAAAAAAAAAAAAAAATTTTTCACATTTTACGAGGCCTGGGTGTCGCTCAAGGTAGAGGATTACATTTGGAGGCTATTTGTGTGTATAGGAGTGGCAGACTGTTGTTAACCCTGGCTTTGAACAGGTTAAGATTGTAGTGATCAGGGAAATATCCTGTTGGGAGTCAGTGCCACAGGGCAGTGGTTCACAGGAAGAAGCTGTTTGAGTGGAACTTACTTTTTACCGATGGGATACAGAGAGAATGTGAGTGGTTTGCTACTATGTAATGGAAGTAGCGGTAGATCAGTGAGAGGCTTGCCACATCTTACCTGTGGGAGAGAGATTGAAGGGTGGAGAATAATCTGTCACCCACAAGGGCTCGGAGATGCTTTTTAACTCTATCAAGGCTGGAGAGTGAGGTCTGCGTAGCACCCACCCAAATATGACAACAGTACTCCATTTTCAGCCTGATCTGGCTCTTGTAAAGGTAGAGGCTAGCAGGAGGAGTCAGGTACTTACTGGAGCGGTATAGGGAGCTGACTGTTTTTAGCAATGGATTATATGTATGTTCACTTGAGGTTGGCTGTGAATTTGAGGCCCAACAGTTTTCAAGGCACAGTGTTTCCCCAAGAGAACCTTTGTTCATCCTGATAGATGGAAGTTCAGGGGTAGATTGGCAATGATGGAATGTAACCAGCCAGTTTTTACCCTATTGGGTAGTTCGAACAAGAAGTTCAGTTAAAATACAATCAAATACAGACAAACCCCTCTTATCAACGAACTAATAGGGGAGAAGGGTGGTCCACTAAAGCCGATTGTCCATAGATGGTAAGGGATTATTTTTGAGTTATAAAACCACTATAGTAACTACCAGTAGTTATGATCATAATGTAAATACTATAAACATGTATATATGGCATAAATGAATATATACTTAATATAGATATATTAATCAACAAAAATAATAGATTTCTCACAGCTACTTTCTCATGCACATGCTAATGTATCATACTTTATATACTGTACACCAATATTTGTTTACAATTGAAAGGCCCATAACTGCCACCAAGTGGTCACTTTCAGAACTAATACAACTCATTCCACTAAGCCCACAAAATTTGAAATACAACATTGATAATTTGCAAGTTTTAACCTGTAGATTTTTTTTTTGCCTGCAGATTTTGTCTGTGGGATCCAAAGTTCATAATTTGTGTGTGTGTGTGGGGGGTCTGTAGATGAGGTTTGTTCATGGGAAATTTCTGACTCCACATAAACCAGTGTTATCTCACTTTTAACCATGATTGTTATAAACAAAAATTCAGATTATTGATGGGATCTCATCTTAGCAGTTTCCATTTTGTCATTTTTACTTAACATTTTTAAAATTTTTTTGTTTTTGTTATTTTTATTTTTATTTTATGTCTTTGTTTTTATTTTTTGTTTTTTTATTTTTTTTATTTTTTTTACGTTTTTGTTTTTTTTACGTTTTTGTTTTTTTTACGTTTTTGTTTTTTTTACGTTTTTGTTTTTTTTACTCTAAGCAAGGCGATAATGCCACTAGAACACACTGGTTTCCAGGGAGTGAAAGAGACTAAGACTTTATTGGGGAAAATTGAGCAAAGGTCAATAAAGGAACAGGTTTCAGAAAGACAGAAGATGGTGACTGACAGTGTATTTAAATATTTGAAGATAATAGTTATCAGAGAAGCAAAAAATCGGAAATGAGTTCCACTGATGAGAAGTGTGAGAAAAAAACTGTTAGAGTAGAAGTGGTGGTTGAATTTAGCTAGTAAAACAGTGAGACCTAATTGCCAATCTAGTAGCATGCTTAAATTCATGTTGTCAAGGCACCAGGGGTGGGGAAAAAACTCATCAGAACAGTTGCCATGAAAATATTTGTAGAAGGAGACAGAGGGAAGAAAGTGACTGATGTCGAGATGCCAGGTCAGGACCAATAACATTACAGACCCTTATTTGGATTTTGTTAAGAATCTCAATTTGTACAGCTGGAACATGAGACCAGATATGGTAACAGTATTCAAGGCATGGATGAATGATAGATTTATAAAT